TAAAGACTTTTACGTGTATTTTCTCATTTATCTTCACACTCTCAATTTATAGATAAGGAAACTGAGGCACATATCCTGGCCAAAATTCCAGAGTTAGCAGGTGACAAAGGCTGGCTCCAAAGCTCAGTCTTTCACCATTAGGTTATTCCATAAGGTGCACATTTACATAATAACATAAGTAATAATATTTAACTATTTATTAATAAATAATATTTAGAGCACTCTCTTATCACATGGCTTTTGGTACCATATACAATCATACATTGACTAAAAACAAAATGTACAAAAGTAGTATGTTCTGCTTAAAAAAAAAAAAAACAACAGGATCAAGCATTCCTTTTTAAATTTAAAATTTTGGTCTGGCACAGGGGCTCATGCCTGTAATCCTAGCACTTTGGGAGACTGAGGTGGAATGATCACTAGAGTCCTGGAGTTTGTGACCAGCCTGGCCAACACAGCGAGACTCACATCTCTACAAAAAATTTAAAAATTAACTGAATGTGGTGGTGCATGCCTATAGTCTCAGCTACTTAGGAGGCTCAGGCAGAATTGCTTGAGCCTAGGAGTTCGAGGCTGCAGTGAGCTATGATTGCATCACTGCATTCCAACTAGGGAAACAAAGCAAAACCCTGTCTTTTTTTTTTTTTTTTTTTAGACAGAGTCTTATTCTTGCCCAGGCAATGGTGTGATCTCAGCTCACTGCAACCTCCACCTCCTAAATTCAAACGATTCTCCTGCCTCAGCCTCCCAAATAGCTGGGATTACAGGCGCCCGCCACCATGCCTGGCTAATTTTTATATTTTCAGTGGAGATGAGGTTTTGCCATGTTGGCCAGGCTGATCTTGAACTCCTGACCTCAGGTTAGATCACCGCCTCAGCCTCCTAAATTGCTGGGATTACAGGCTTGAGCCACCACACCCAACCCTGTCTTTATTACAAAAAACAAAACAAAAAAAAAAACACAGAATTTCTTAAAACAGCTTATGTCCTGAAATTTATTCTTTTTAATTATTAGGGTTAGAAAGCTCAGTGATCTTCCACTTCACCTAAATATTTTAATAATCTTTAATATTTTCTGATTATAAATTCATTTTAAGAATATTGGAAATGAGTGAAAGCTAAAAGAAAAAAATCACCCATGTCACCACCCAGAGAGGACCAATATTAAAATGTCCGCATATTTTATCCATTATTTTAATTAAGTATATGTTTAATTCATTATGTAACTTAGACTATACCATCTTATTTGAAATCTTTCATTATTTATATTATGTATTATTTTCTTATGCTGTTGAAGAATTTTCAAAAACAATTTAAACTGTTGCATAATATTCCAGTGTATGCATCAGCATTTATCTAACCATTCTCTATTGTTGACATCTTACACTGGTTCTAAGTTCTTGCTATTTTCAAAAAGTGTTGCCTATATTTCTAATTCCTTCTTTGGAAGAGATTCTTCAAGACTGTTATAGAGTCAAAAACGATACCTTTTTAGAAGTCTCTTATTGCATACTCCTAAATAGCTCCCCAGGTAACTTAAATGCAGAGGCTGTCACAAATTACCATGACTTCCATTTCTTCACTTGTCAGATGACTGAAACAATATGTTTTCCTAAGCCCTTCAATAAAAAGAAAAGACCCACACTTGGAGTCGAAAGAGCCAAGTTCTTGTTCTAGCTTTTTCTTCTTACTGCGTTACCTTAAACATGGTTCCTCAAGATGGCAGAAAAGCTTTAGTACATGAGAATTTTGACCCCAAAAGGGATACCTCCAAGCCTCAGTGTCCTCCTGGGACAGGAGGCCTAAGGAGGAGAAAGCCTCCCAAAATGCAGTCTGCAATAAATTGTGGAAATGTGAATCTTAGGCATGGTCCTGGGTATGACCAACCATCAAAAACAGCAATCCCATCTCTCAACAGCTATAGTGCCATGTCGCAGCACCACAACTTCAGGAGCAGCAGATCTAAGGATAGCTTTTCATAAATGTACTACGTTGTCCCCCATCAAGTGTTAACTATAGAAAACATTACTGGAACATCAAATGACTCTACTCCCTTCTATTTACATATCCTTTCCTCAAAAACCATTATTCACACAGCACAGATTATTGATTTCAGTATTCCCTAAAGAACAAGAAAAGACACCCTCTCTGCCTACCAAGTCATATGAAGTGACAAGTAAGGATAAAAACAGAGCAAGCAGGCCGGGCGCGGTGGCTCAAGCTTGTAATCCCAGCACTTTGGGAGGCCAAGATGGGTGGATCACGAGGTCAAGAGATCGAGACCATCCTGGTCAACATGGTGAAACCCCGTCTCTACTAAAAATACAGAAAATTAGCTGGGCATGGTGGCGCGTGCCTGTAATCCCATCTACTCGGGAGGCTGAGGCAGGAGAATTGCCTGAACCCAGGAGGCAGAGGTTGCGGTGAGCCGAGATCACGCCATTGCACTCCAGCCTGGGTAACAAGAGCGAAACTCCGTCTCAAAAAAAAAAAAAAAAAAACACAGAGCAGCAGATATGCTGAGCAGCTGGGAAGACTAGAGCCCACACAGAGGCAAGGGCAGGAAAGAAACAAGAAGTGGATGAAAATTTGCAACCATCCACATGCTGTTCTAGGGCTCAGGATAATCTACAAAAGCTGTCAAGTAAAAAGGAGAAAAGGAGATGACAAGGGTACATAATGGCTCAAAGAGAAAATAAGAGCTTCAAGTAAGATTTTTTTTTTTTTTTTTGAGTAAAGATTATATCCAATCTCACCTTATTTCATGTAAATGCAACATTTGAAACAGAAGCAATCAGAGGCCCAAACAAATGCAGCACAAGAATAAAAATTGCTGGATGTGGTGGCTCACGTTTGTAATCCCAGAACTTTGGGAGGCTGAGGCAATGGATCACCTGAGGTCAGGAGTTCAAGTCCACCCTGGCCAACATGGTAAAACCCCGTCTCAACTAAAAATGCAAAAAAAAAAAATTACCTGGGCCTGCTGGCAGGCGCCTGTAATCCCAGCTACTTGGGTGGCTGAGGCAGGAGAATCGCTTGAACCTAGGAGGCAGAGGTTGCAATGAGCCAAGATCGTGCCATTGCACTCAGCCTGGGCAACAAGAGCGAAATGCCAAAACTCTCAAAGAAAAAGAAGAAGAAAAATTACACTATTCTAGTTGTCTATTACATATGATTTTTGAAAACTGTCTTATATACACAGACACTTACAAAGCCTTATAAAGTCATTAGTTCTCTAGTGTACCGCTGCACTGAAGTCAGCTTGGTAGAGGAGGATTCCAATACAGGCAGTAAAACACGCCAGAGTGAAGAATCAACACTTCTTTCTACTACCTGTGCATGGATACTCTCAAGACACTCAAGACAAAACGAACTGATTTGGACACACAAAAAAAGTAGTGGCGCTTAGTCATTTATGAGCTAAATTAGAACCTGAAGATAAGCCAAACACTATTAAATAAAAATTATTCAAGATGACCATCTCTTGATAGCTCACTCCAGTAACAACCTTCACTGTCTTAAAATTTCTTCTTTGTAAAATATACTCTACTGCTATTTTTATACTGTTATGCTATTTATAGACTCTACTGCTAATTTAATCTACTTCCTCTTGAAGTCTTTTATTTTGAAAAGGGCAAGTGGGCACATCTTCCCTACACTGCACCTTTATATATTTAACTTTCATATGACATTCACTCCCTCATATTCTCCAATGTAAATAATCCTACCCTTCCTACCTTCTCTTTTTAGGTATTATTTCTTCACTTTATTTTATTATTTTTTTTTTTTGAGACGGAGTGTCACAGCTGTTACCCAGGCTGGAGTGCAATGGCACGATCTCAGCTCACTGCAACCTCCGCCTCCTGGGTTCAAGCAATTCTCCTGCCTCAGCCTCCCGAGTAGCTGGGATTACAGGCGTGCGCCACCATACCCAGCTAATTTTTTGTATTTTTAGTAGAGCCAGGGTTTCACCATGTTGGCCAGGATGGTCTTGATCTCTTGACCTCGTGATCCACCCGCCTCGGCCTCCCAAAGTGCTGGGATTACAGGCTTGAGCCACCGCGCCCGGCCATTTCTTCACCTTTTAACAGTGGTTCTCTATTAACTCTAAATTCTCCTTGTTTTCTTTAAGTTATAGTGCTAAAATGAAACACGTGACATTTGCCACCTAACTCATAGAGATGGGCTTATTATTTAACAGAAAACACAGAGCAGGCCAGTTGGAGTTTCCATAAAATCTGCATTTGAAGGAAAATAATTCTCACTAGAGAAAGACCCCTTCACCTCCAAAAGATAAGCATGCTATCATTTGTATCAGATAATGAACAAGAGGACAATAGGAAAAAGAAATCATAGAATGGGTCTAGAAAATACAGGTGTATTTAGTTCCTTTCGTGGCATGCTTATTTTAATCCAGTCAATCGTTAGGAATTTGGTGTCAGTGCGGTGGCTCATGCTTGCAGTCCTAGCACTTCAGGAAGCCAAGGCATGAGGGTCGCTGGAGCCCCGGAGTTCAAGACCAGCCTGATGAACACTGTATGACTTCATCTCTACAAAAGGTAAAAATTAGCCAGGCATGGCAGCACATACCGGTGGTCCTAGCTACTTAGGACACTGAGGCAGGAAGATAGCTTGTGTCTGGGAGTCTGGGAGATCAAGGCTGCAGTGAGCTATGATCCCATGGTTGCTTTACTGCACTCAGCCTGGGTGATAGAGACCCTATCTCTTTAAAAAATCATAAATGAAGATGAATTTCGAACTAAAAGTTAGGAGATGGCTGAGTTAAAGTGACAAAATGCAGATGTTTGCATCCCTTTCCCAACTGAAAAATCACTTCAAATCAATGAGAACAAGACCCAGATGTGAAAAGTTCCATGTTTGATGAAACAAGGGTTTCAGAAACCCCCCAACACAAAATATAAATACAGAAGGCGAAAACCTGGCAGAGGAAGCTTAACTTGCTGTCTGTACACTTAACTTTGGAGACACAAGGTACCTACCAGGTGTTTTGTTTTGCGAGGTAAGTGCGTAGGTTATGGGTAGGGAAGGACTTGAAAATAGGAGACTTGTTTGGATGTCTTTATTCCTCTCCATGCAGATGGGATCAGAAAATCACTAACGGTCTCCGAGAGCGATGTCTTCAGGGGGAGCAAAGTGCCAGGTGCTGAGATTATCTACAAAAGTTGGCATTTGTGTCACAAGGCAGTTCAAGGTGTGGGGAAGACTCAGTCAGACATTCAAAGGAAACAGAGAGAATGAAAAGGTGAGGCATTTACTCAAGGAAAAACAAAAAATGTGTTCAACAAAGAAAATGCCATCTCAACACCACACTTGGCTTAGCAGTAAACAATACTCACTTATTCATATTGAATAGAAAGCACTGAGCTGAGTCTAACCAGAGTATTAGTGCTGCTAATTATCCTGGAAGGACGGTGGAGGGGACGATGGAGCATAAATGAGATTAAATCATTTCTCAGGCACCACCACCGCCATTGCCCTAGCTAACATTATTGAGCACTGACTGTGCTTTGTATTTTTATTCTGAGCACTCATAAGTGAGCCTCGTGTCTCTCCCAGGAAGCTGCCACAAGACAAAATGCACCACAAAGCCTCCTAGACTCAGAACAGAGGAATGCTTCTCGGGGAAGGAATGATCCTCTTGACTGCCTTGAAGGAAGCTTTGGAATTCTTTCAGGAAGGGGAACAAGAGGAGCATTTCATTCAAGTTTGGGAAATGCGTGATAACCCCCAGGATCAAGGCCTCATTAGACAAATGGTATGAAATTCTCCTTCCTGTAATTTCTGAGAACAGATGAATATGGAAGAGCTGATGGACTCTGCGCTGGGAGAAGTGGACGTACAGAAAAATTTCAAGTACGACTGACCTAGACTTCCAACTCCTCACCTCCACCTGCTGAGTAATACAGATGTGAATGTAACCGCAAATATGGAGAACTTCTCGACTGCACCTAAATGCATGAAGAGGAACTACCATAGGGCTGAAGACATCTAGTCTTTTATGTTTCAGTGGTGATTCCTTGTTCACAGAAATCCACAGGTGCTGGCACTTATAATGATCAGAATTACTCTGGGGGCAGTGGTAGAGAGAGAGAAGTTAGTAAGTTATGATCAATAAATGTTCATGACCCCAAACCAAACCCTAATTTAACAAAAAATCACAGTTACCATCTATGGAGCACTTCCTCCATACTCAACTCTGTACACACGTTATCTCTCATACTCATGTCATCACCTCTGTAGAGGCACTATCCACAGTCTACAGTTGAGTAAATCAAACCTTACAGAGTCTAAGTAACTTACCTAAGATACGCTAGCTAGTGATGAAGCTCATATTGTCTCCATTAAGCTATGTGGTCTCCCATCTTCCAGAATGGCTTAAAGTATGAGCCTTTATTGGGATTTTCCCTTAGATTCTAGTAGAGTGCGGGAAAGTAAGTCTCTAGCAATGGAACTATAACTTAGAGCTCACCACCGGCTGCCAGTATTGTATAAAACTATGTACCACATTAGAGAAATAGATTCTTTGGAGTACTTAGGGTTGGGACAATAGGAACAAAGTTGCTAGACCACCCAAGGCCCAGAACAAAAAGGAAAAGAACTGAGATGAGAGGCAACGGGAGGCTAGAAATCAGGGTCTTTACCCAACATATGTGTTTGCCGGAGGTACGCACCCGGGGCATTTGCTAAGTATTGTTCTGCTTCTGTTTGGAAAACAAAAACAACCTCCCTAAACTGTCTCACATTCCCTCTAGCAGTGAACATAGGCCAAGCTCAATATTGTGGTGAAGAAAATAAATCAAAACATGCCAGAGTTCTCAGAAGTTTCCATGACAAACTGGCATATCCTGTATTTTAACTCCGGCCCATCTCCATAAATCTGGAAAAGTTGATCACATGTCACCCAGACGCATCAACCTTCAGCTATTCATATTAACTTACACACTTAAGTCAGACTCTCCAAAGCATCTACTTTCTTTTCCTTCTATCACAAAATAATAAATACTAGGGGAAAAAATCCATATGCCTTTATATTTTCCCAGGTAAGTGCAGAAATGAACACAAATTGCATTCCAAGCACTTCTCTTAAGCCAATTCCTGTACTAAAACAAATTCAAGTAAAACATGCCTATTTTCCAAAGTGCATCCTAAAGTCACTAATTCATGGGTAGTTCACATATCATTAGAGAAAGAAAAGGAGAAGAAAAGAGAGAAAGTGAAGCAAGAAGGAGGAGGAGGCAGGGAACACCTTCTGAGAGGTCCCCCAAACTTAGCCAGACTAGAATTAAAGATGGTGCATCAAAAACTGTTACATGCAGCGGCGCAAGCTGGCTCATGCCTGTAATCCCAGCACTCTGAGAGGCCGAGGCAGGAAGATCACCTAAGGTCAGGAGTTCGAGACCAGCCTGACCAACATGGTGAAACCCCATCTCTGCTAAAAATACAAGAATTAGCCGCGCCTGGTGGTGCACACCTGCTACTCAGGAGGCTGAAGCAGAATTGCTTGAACGCAGGAAGTGGAGGTTGCAGTGAGCGGAGATTATGCCACTGCACTCCAACCTGGATGATAGAGCAAGATTCCATCTCAAAAAAAAAAAAAAAAACAAAACAAAAAAAAAACAGATTGTTACATCCAATTAGAAGAGCAACAGAACAAAAAAGCTCTATTTATATATACGTTGCAAATAGGCTGTGAAGAAGGCTTGAAAGCATTTTGTTGAGAGCTAACATGTTAAGCAGTGACCTAAAAGATAAAAGGCTGGCTGGGTTGAAGAAGAGGTAGATACTGTCCATATGACCTTGGCCAATGGCAACGTACATATCTGCATTTGAGAGAGAACGAGGACCAAGCAGTACAGGATCACTTTCCTAGAGATGCTATGACCTTCCTCCAACATTACAGTCGTGTTAACAAAAGCAGACACTTGCAGCACTGAGCTGGCAGGACCCAAAGTCCATACCCTAAAACACTGTCCCCAGTCGGCCCAAAGACCTTACCCTTAAAACATAACAATGAATGACACAAGGGAAAAAGCAAGGGTCCTACACACACCATATAACATAGAAGCCAACCTTTCAAACATTAAGAGCATCACCACCCAAAGTTGAACTAAATTTTGTACTGACCACAGATCATCCTTCCACTTATGGGTCAAGAAAAGTTAAGTGAAATTGGTTAAATCAAGACTATGTTTCAGAATAATTTGACCCACATTTTTAATAGAAATTTATTATTACAAATATTTATCATGTACCTTGTAGAGGCCAGGCACTACACTAAACAATAGGGAGAAAGCTGTTTAAGACAGACACAGCTATGCTGCTCTCACAAAGCCCACCTACCATAAAACACTTTAATCTTCTCCAAAACAACTCTCTGTACAGGCACACAAAAGAATCGAAATCGCTAAGGCATCTAAGCAGGGCAATATCAGAGCTTAGCACATAAAAACCGTGTAAAAGGAACCAAATAGCATGCTGTCATAAGTCTTATCTTTTTCTTAACAATATCTGCCCTTTGTAAAATGCCAAAGACCAGAACATTCAGGAGCATCATTAACTCTCACCCATTTTCACTGAGCAACTGAAAGGCATCAGACACTGTGGATCTAAAGACGAGTACAACCTGGCTTTTGTCTTCAGAAAGCTCATAATCTAGTGGGGACGAATTCTTCAGGATCACAGAGGGCAAATGGCCTTCTCTGGAAAGAGATTTTTTGACAGCTGTGCTTAAGAAGATTTTTGCACAAGTGACACTGTAGTATTATTGCCTTTTCCTCAATACAATTTTCCCATCACAAGCACAGACATCAGAAAAGGCTCTTGACCTCTCTGCTAAGTTGCAATACATTTCATCAAAATGAGCTTGTTACCGATTCTCAAAATATGAAATTCTCTCTATCCTTCCACCCAGCGTTCAAAGATATCAGAATTTCCCCTAGTTCATGGTGTGGGTAAGGCTGCATCGAAAGACAACATAAGGTGGTTTGAGAAAGGTCCTTTAAGATCTGGGTCTTGCCTACCTAAATATCAAGGAAGAGAAAAATAGTGACAATAATGATGGTGATTAATAGCGGCATCTTCAATGTACTGAACATGTATTATGTGTCGCACATGGTGTCAAGTACTTTTGGCTATGTCATTTAGCCCTCAAAACAGTCCTGAGGTAAGTATATTATTTATCCTCATGTTGTGGATGATGAAACTGAGGCTTGACAAGGTTGAGGTTTTGCTCAAGGACACAAGGTAGGAAGTGGCAGAGCCAAGACCAAATGGGTATCCATCTGTACCATGCCCCCAACCCTTGCCCACCCTTTACCCATATGCGTCAGTCATGTGCAAAGAGCAGGAACCATGGAACCACCATGCCATTTCTAATCTCCAAGCCTTTGAGTGCATTGCTTCTGAGAGGCCATGCTTCCCAATCTTCATCCAGCCGACTCCTATCTGTCTTTCAGAACTCATTTGGAGTCAACTTGAAAGTTATCTCAACTGCCCCTCTCTAAGGTTTAATGCCTCATCTCTGGATTTGCTCAGTCCTGGACAAAGACTCCCTCTCTCCCAGCACTTGTCCCACTGTGCCATTCAGTCATGAGCTGCTCAAGGTCATGGATCATTTTATACTCAACTCTGCAGCTCCAGAGCCTCGTAGGGTGCTTATTAGCAGCTGCATCACATCAACTGTGTTGGTTGACTGAACAAATGCATGAGAAAGAGAACTGAAGTTAAGGACTTATTCTAGGATGGTCTCTCTGGAGCTAGAGATGCTTGAATTCAAGTCCTGACTCTACCTCGTACCAAATCACCAATTTATTTAACCTCTCTAAGCATCAGTGTCCATCTATAAAATATAGGCTAACAGTATGTCTCATCTATAAAATAAACAGCTCTAAAGTCTGTTCTGAGAGTTTAGATTTTGCAGGTTAGCTCAGTAAGTGACACATATGTTAATAAATGTTAGTTATTAGTAATAAAGTATAGACCAAAGCCAATCCTCTTATAATAAACAACTTTGCCCTTAGTTCCCAGCTTCACTTTTCCCTCTAATCTCAAGGCTTTGAGCAAATACACAGTCAGTCCTCTTACAATGGGGTGGTGGAATCACTTGGTCAACCAACCCAGGTTCCTTCCAGAGCTAGACATTTAAGGATCCTTTAGGTTCTTCTACAAAGTTACAAAAGGGAAAATGTTTCATATATAACCCTGAACTTAATCTTTTCTCCCAAGATAAGCATTCCCCTGGGAATTGATCCCTCCGCTGAGAACGAAGAAGCTGCTGCAACAGAGCACTATGAATTGTATAATGTTGAGCCTCAGATCACAGTAAAACGGCCTAGTTAAAAATCATGTTGTTCCATGCTATATTCAACAAAGCATCTTTGGCTATAAATAAGACAAAAGAGTGTCTCCCATCATGTATGCATAATGAGAATACCATGAAAGATATTAGATTTCACAGTTATATTTGTGTTCCTTTAAGAAACACAAATGTGGCTGGGCAAATTGGTCATTCAATAGATATTATTTTCTTATTTTTAAGATCCTCCCCCCAGTATTTTGTTATATTTTAAAGTATAACTTATATTATTTTTTCTGAATATAAAATTAATGACCATTATAGAAAATATAAGAAATATAAAACATTTTATAAAACAGAAATAAAAATATCCAGAACCTATCAGCCAAAACAATATGAACTGGTCATATAAATGAAGTTTTACATGAACAAAGCAGGGAGAACTAAAGATGACAAAACGTCTGGAGGTCTAAAGGAAGAGTGGCCTCTCATGACGTTTCTAAGACTGACTTACTACTACACTATTGAATGGGAGGGAGGGAAGGGGGAAGGGTGGTTCTGTTCCTTGACAAGATTCAACGAAAAGGAAGACCAAAGTATAATTAGAAACACTGACCATGTGTCATCTTCACCACAAGTGAACTTGAGGGAAGGAGACGCCTGAAAGACCTGGAATTCTTCTTGCTTGACTCATGAAACCCAACAGGTCTTAGAGATGACTGCACATTAAAACTGCTCTGGACCAAGAAGCAACTGTCTGACAACTAGGACCAGCATTTGAGGTGAGATGTATTTTCCCTTCCCTCACCATCATCCCAGAAAAGGACACACAGAGTTACTCAATAAGGGGAACAAATCTAGACATTATAATAGTGAAACGCTTGGGCCCTGAAGAAAGAGCCCTGAATTTGAATACTATGTTTGAGTTTAATCCAACTGTAAAATCTCTGGCATACTATTTAAACTCTCTGAGCCTCGGTTTCCTCATCTGTAAGATGAAAACAGTAACAACATGTCACAGGATCAGTGAAAAGATTAAATAAGATATTGTATGTAAAGCATGATCAGAGTCTCTGGCCCAGATAGCAATGCCTAAAAATTACCTATTACTGTAGCTATTACAAGTAGGGGAACAGTGGTTTAAAAATCAACAATGACAGAATAAAAAGGAGATTTGAAAGATGACACCAAAAACAAAATTTAATTCAAGTCTTCCGAAGTAAACTAAGTACCATTAAGGTGAGGAATAAGAATTGGTCAGAAAATCTGCAATAATTCAAGAGTCTAAAGAAATAATGTTGTATTAATCCATTCCAGGAGAAAAGGTACTTAGACAAGACTGGCGTTATCAAATTAAGATGGGTCATGAAAAAAGGTTTTCAGAATTGTTATCTTGTGCTATTTTAGTGCATTTTTTACACCCACAGATAAACAACACTTCACGTTTCTTTTCTAAACAAAAAATAACTCTCCTGGCATTCTTGGCCCTGAGCTTATAATGTGCTCAGTAATTTTCCATTTCAGTTTTGTGCTCACAGATTTAGAAATGTACTTCAGTTTCTAACAAAAATATTTATGCTCTGCAGTATTTATTGCTTCTGCATAACTAGATGCCAGTGAACAGATGAGAGAGGTATCCAAGAGGAAACGTGGAATAATAGTGTGCAAAGTGTTGCAGAGCATAAGGTCACACTGCGGAATGTACTTTAAAAATGTAACAGGATAGGGCTTAGCCCAGTGTTAGGCTTAGCCCAGCCCTGTCAGGGGAGCTCAGCCAAGGTCCCCAGGGCAAGGAATTCTAGATATACTGCACACTGACCTCATGCATGACCCATACCAATTCACTGAAACCCCTTGGGGAAAATGAGTTACCAGTACCTGTCCTGCTACCCAAACTTCCAATGGATTAGCAAACCGTGGGTTTTCTGTTTCTTGTTTTAAGCAGCACCTTTATTTTCAAATAAAATATTACAGATGAAAACAGAACTGATTTGATGACATCTATATATTCTTTTTAAACCCTCCTTACCCCCTACCCAAATCCTGGGATCCCTAAGGGACCAGAGAACACTATTAGAAACTAAATGACAGCTAGAGAGAGATTTTAAAAGTCCTAAAGAACAATTTATCCATAATCTGAATTTCTATGATTCAGTTTTAACTTAATATCTAACATATTCCACAGAACTGCTTTGGTAAATCATAAAAATCCTATATAAAAATGTATCCATTTTCACGATTAAACTACAGAGG